TGAAATACCTACCCTTCTCTCCTGCATCGAGACCGCAACCCAGCACAGCTGCTCCATTTCCAAAGGAACGGGCTCCTGTTCTCCTGACCTGGTTCCTGTCATCAGCCGTGTTATTCTGGTTTCTGTGTTCTGCTCTAGGACCAGCAGGTGGGCACTAAGAGGAGGACAGATCTGTGGCATCAGTTCTGTGTCCAGCAGCCCTGTGAACGTCCCGCATCTGTTTTGAAAGGGTGATTGTTTGGAGGCGCCGGAGGCCAGCGCCGTGCCTCTGGGAAGCGGGAAAAACTTCAGCTCCCGCCTGATGAGTGAAGCGCCCATACATAAAAATGTCATTTCCACTGAAAAGGAAACCAAATTATGGATTCTGAAATTCGTAGTCATCTGTTTTTATTGTTGCCTAATGCTTTTCAGATCTGCGCAGGCCCTGCAGAAAATCAACTCTGAAACTGCATAATTAGCACATCCTTCATCGTCGTAAATGCTAATCCCATCGGAGAACAGATTAAGCATTCACGGGCGCGAGTTCCTGGCACCAGGTACCTGCCCGTTCCTTTTCTTTTTGAATAATTCATTATTTAAATACTGCGCTGCTGCGCATCCCGTACAGCCTCCCGTGTTGTATTGGGGGCAAGAGACAAATAAGAGATTAATTTCACGTATATTTCGACACTAAACACATTCAAGGCTCATTTATGTTGATTTGGTGTCATTGGACTGCAGCTGCTGACAACGTTACGGCGTTAGCCGGTCACCCCGGGGACCAGTTTCGGGAAATTAGGTAGCACCTTCGGTGGGACCTTACTCAGGTCAGAGATCTGGCTTTTGCAGGCGACAGAGTTGTCTGGTTTCAAGAAGAACAGCGAAGGATTCAGACAGCTGTTTTCCGTGAGGACCGATGACCGCGTGCAGTGAGCGTGGCTTCAGGTGGCATGCCCCATTCTTGGGTGTGACTGCTTGATAATGAAATCTGGGAGCAGGAAGTGGAAAGCACAGCCCTGCAGTGACTTTTGTCCGTGCAGTGCCTGCCATGGGTGGGGCCTCGGCAGCCTGTCGCTTGCCCTTCCGGACTTGAGGCCATGTGCTGGCTCCCGTGGGGGCTTCTCAGGGTCTCCGTCAGCCTGGTGCAGACCTCGCTCGTAGGAGGCCCTCGCTGGCTCTGAGTGACTGCTGTTGGCTCATCTGTCCCTCTCGTGCAGTGAACGCCTCGTGGACGCAGGGTGCCGCCTTCATCTGTGTGTCCCAGGGGCCCGTACAGGCCTGGCACACAGGAGCACTTCACAGCTGTTTGCTTAATGAACGAATGCGTTTTCCAGGACTAGCTTGAACTTTGTTGGTTATAAGTCACAGAAATTCAACTCAAATAGCTTAAGCCTGAAGGAGGAAGTAGTATAAAGATACAAGAGTCTCTTGGACATGGCTCCATAGTGCAGCGGTGAGCACGTCTGCTTTACACGCAGAAGGTCCTGGGTTTGCGCCCCCGTGGAGCCATGGTCTATGGTCTATGGCCATGCCACCCTGAACAAGCCTGATGTCTGACCTTGGAAGCTAAGCAGGGTCAGGCCTGGTTAGTACTTGGATGGGAGACCACCTAGGATGACCAGGTGCTGTAGGCATAAATAATAATTATAATAATGAAAGATACTAGAGTCTCTGTCAAACCCTGCGCAGGAACCACTTCTCCAGGACTATTGGGATGCTCCCACGTGGGGCCCTGCCTCTCTCTGTGACAGCTGCCACCTCCTAGCGGTGCCCGGCATGCTCCGTCTCACACACATCCGCTCCTGCTCCGTTCCAGGACCAAGATTCTCCAGGATGTACCTGGGTTGGCTCCAGGCGCCCACCCCAAAGCCAGTCAGCTGGGGGCAGAAACCAGGTGTTCTTATGTGACAGTCCGGCCTCCTGGGGTAGAGGTGTGAGAAGAACAGGACTCCAGGCAGACCACAGAGTGTTCGGGGTCCCTGGGCAGGAGGGGTGCATGAGATGGCCCCACATTGCATCATTCTCTCGTGGTGGTAGATGTGACAGCAATTGTGACTGATTTTCTGTCCTTTGGCTGAGGACTAGCTCAGCTGGGGCTATGCCTGGCACTTCCTCCTTCCACTGTTTTTTGAAACCTGGCATTAAAAACCCACATTCGAACAGCTTTTTAATAAATAGTTTATGAAAGTCTCACATACACCGACTGCCTGACACAATGCCACAGTGGTCTGCTCAGGGGGTGTGCTCCCCCCACTTTTCGTTTGAGGAGGTCAAGGCCGTCCCCCGCCTTGTGGCAGAGGGGATGCTGGGATTCGGGTCTCGGGGCGTCCAGTTCGGTTCCGGCTTCTCTTTATGACTCTTCCTCTTTTATTATTAAAATAAAAATACACTTGGCATTTTACCATTTCGAAGGACTGTGTCCTTTGGGGGCGGCTACGGCTGCTGTCTGTCAAGCACATACCCAGTGCGAGGCTGGCCCAGGCACTTCACGTGGGTTGGCCCCTGCAGTCGTCACAGGAACCCAGGGAGAAAGACACTTTAACCCTATTGAACAGGTGGGGGGGACGCTGAGGCAGCGGTAGGTCGCAAGGTCACCCGAGGTTGCGGGGGCAGCGCCGGGAGCAGAGGGCACAGTCTTCTGACTCGGAGGCTGTGCCGCCCTCTGCTGTGTCCGTGCCCGGTCTGGCCTGAGGTGCTCCTGGTTCGGGGTGTCAGAGCGGCCGGGCCTTGCTGATACAAGAACCGAAACCCGAGCGGAGGGGCTGGTCCACAATCTCGCGAGAGTTCGTTTGCCCCCCGCCCCCGACTGTGCTCTTTCCGGCCCGCTGACCTCTTGCCCTCTGGGCCTCTCTTCCCTCCTCGGATGATGAGGGTTCAAATCCGACAGTCGTGAGGTCCCCGTCCAGGCCTGTTGACGAGCAGTCTGGAGACCTGCTCGATGTCACATTACGGCTTTCTCTTGTGGCTGCATTGGCTGGTTAAAGCCCAGCCACTGCCTGTGGTCACAGGAGGGAGGAAAGTCATCTCCAGCCTTGACGACCTTCAGGGCCCCAGAGACACTGCAGGCCGACACTGCCTGTGACGAGGGCTCTCACCAGCAGTCAGCAACCCTCCGCGGACCAGCCATTGCTGGTGTCAGGGCGGTTGGATGGTCCGGCCGGGGCCTCCGCGTTGCCCGTTGTCCCCTGGAGTGCCGTGGTGATAGGCGTGTGAGAGACGCCGGCTGGGGACAGGCAGGCACGAGCAGGAGCTGGTTGCGATGGCGATCGTCGGGGCCCAGGGCGCGGCCTTCACAGCTCCCAGGCCGTGAGCAGACGCCCTGTTCCTGTGCCGTCCTCGTTCAACTTTAGCTTCTTCATTGCCCAGATTTCCCCCACGGCTGCCTTTGTCAGGGAGCCCCCAACTCTAAGGTGGCACCCTATGGCCTAACTCCCTGGGGAGCAGCCAGCCTGCCGCCCAGGGCCAGACCATAGTGCTACTGCGTTTCCATGGGAACCGTGGCCACCGTCAGCTGAGTCTGGACAGCCGGCAGCGTTCTGTAACGAGCAGCGACTCCACCCCGGGTGGCCTTGGGGGGCATCTGGTCTCTCTGCTGTCCTAACACCCAGGGTGAGTGTTGGCCCAAGCGGTACCCCGCGTCTTTTCCACCCCCCACCGCGATTCTGTGCTCCGCCGGGGGAAGCTCAGCGCCCCAGCGCGCGTCCTGGCCGAGTGTGAGGTGCAGAGCGGCTGCCCGCCGCGGGGGGGCGCGGTCCCGGGCCCTGGGCGGCCTCTGTTTTCAGGGCGGTCACTTGGAGCCACTTCCTGTAGCTGCCCCAGGGCTCACAGCGTGGAGAGGGAGCATTATTGGGGGGCGGGGACATCTTTGCCTCAAGTCAGGAGGAAGCCACCTGCAGAGAAGAGTTTCCTGTCTGGACTCTGAGCACAGCCACGGTGCTCGTCACCTGCTCTGTCCTGCCCCAGCCCCTCGACCCAAGGCCGGCAATTTCCACCTCTGGTTGAGTTAACAGAAATTGTACCAAAACATGAAGTAAAACGAAAAGGAGCACATCATGCACCCGCATTTCTGACTGGTCTGGAATCCAGAAGCCGATCATTCCGAGCCCCGGTGAGTCGGCCCCAGATCATGCGCACAGACGGGGCCAGTGCCCAGTGACGCGGCGGGCGGCACAGGGCCGCTCTTGGCAGACGAAGCCTGGGCGACACTGTCGCACGCTTCTCTCTGCTCACGATTTCGCTCCCCTCATCTCCCGACAGCCCTACAAGAGGTGGGCGTCATCCGCCCAGTTTTTCTCATGGGGAAACGGAGGCTCAGGGCAGCGAGGGCGATCCTGGGCCTGTCTCAGCCAGCGCAGCCCCCCGCTTCCCGACACAGAGCGCTTCGGACACAGCACTGTCCCTCTGACGTCCGCGTGCAGCCATCGCTGCTTCTGCGCCAGAGTTGGTTTTTTTTTTTTTTTTCATTTGAATGTGTTTCTTATCTTCTCTGGGGCTGAGGTCATTCTTTGTGTCCTAAAAGTCGGCTCTTGTTCCTGGCAAGAAAAAGCAGGAATTGTAAAAAAGCAGCAATTATCACTCTCGGGTCTTTTGTACAGAGTCCCGTGAATAATTTATTCGGGTCTGAGGGCCGGGGACTGAGAACACACGGAGCCTGAGCCTCGCGGTACCCGGGCCGTTCTGTGCTCGGGCCTTGAATGCGGCGGTCAGGAGAAAGGTAGCTTTGAAATCAGAGAGGACGGTGAGTGGTCGGAGGACACAGGCGGAAGCTCTGCAGGCGGATGGCCAGCAGCAAGGAGTCTTTACATGGCGCGTGAAGGTCACCTTCCCAGTTCCACCTACCCGTCCTGCATACTTTGCAGCTGGGGTACGGGAACAAGGGACTCTGCAGCCGGAAAACCCCGGGAGAGGTCGGAGCCGGGGCGCTCCCCGAGCCTCCCCACCACCGCACTCGATACCTGGACTAAACAAAGAAAATCGTGTCTGCCAGACTCGTGAGCCGAAGTCACAAGACCGCGAGTATCATGCAGCAGCCTGGAATTCCTACAGAACCCCGTCGGGACGGGCGTGCCACCCGCCACGCGGGAGTGGCCGTGCACCCCCCGACCTTCCAGATCAGAACGTTCAGTACCGAGTTGAAAAACCACGTGATGGTCATGGATTTCGTGAAGAGGAACTGGTTTCCGTCCCAGAGAAGAGCCAAAGTTTGTGTCGTCCATATGTACCAAGGCCTGAAGACAGCCGAGCAGACGGCCAGCCGATACGAGGTACGTGGGTACCGGGGCAGGGCGGAGGGTGTCGGCCGGCAGTTCATTCACATGGTCGCTCTAGAGTGACAAGTTCGTCATCTGTTTTAGTTTCCCCCAGGGGTTCAGAAAAGACTCTCTCTGGTCGCTTTATTTCAGTTTTCGAAATACGGGCAAACATTTATTAGTGCTCCGAAGAGCTGGATAATTTGCAGCCGCATGTAGGAACTGCAGTACATTTCTGTGAGTTAAATAGACTTCGTGCTGTAAATTTCCAGTCATCTGTCTTTCAAAACAAATTCCGATTTGTTTCTTGATGTGTCAGGCAGGGGACTAGCTCTGACTGGCCTCGATCGAGTTAAAATAGAATGATTTATGTTAGGCTAGTCGAATGGCCTTTTATTTTTTGAGGGCGAGCTCAGGTTTTCAAGCAGAGACTACTTTTGTGGGGGAAAAGGATAACTTCAGGGCTTTAGAATGTCAAAGTGAAGTAAACAAATTACTCAGAAACATTTGCATTTTGTAACTAGTACAAGCCACAAGCAGTTATCAGAAAGTAAACACACGTGAAATCTGATCATCTCTTCATTGTACATGGAATAAATTATGAATGACATTGTAATCGACTCCTATATGGCTCACTAACCCATCCTTTTGGATAAAGGCAACATGCGAGTTGCTGATGTTTTATGAAAAGGTGACCTTTCCGAACACGAACACCATTATGAGGAGAGGCTCCCTGAATGCTGGCATTCCCCACACTGGCTTCCTTATTCCAGAGCAACACAGAACCTGTTCTACAGGGTTCAAGGCAGGCTTCTTCCAGCTCCAGCCCTGGGGGTGTGAATTTCCGCGTTCACAACAGAGAGAGAAAGGCCACGAAAATAATGGTGTTCATTAAATTCAGTAATAGTTGTTCATTAGTTCATTGCCCAATCAACCAGAGCAAAAGGTATGCAATTAGAATATAAGTGAAGGAAACCAGAGATGTTATTATTCACAGGGAATTAATAGGATGGGGACAGAATTTTATCATCGCATCATTTTCATCGAGGTTATTTTTCAGTCCTCCAGAGAGAGGAAAACTCGTTGAATTACATCCTCTTGCATTCCACGAAGGGTGCACTTCCGTTTTAAACCCTAACTGGCAGAGAGCAGCTCTTGTACCCTTGTTTTTTCTTTCCTTCTTTTTTTTCATGCATGAAACTTCGTTTATTTCCAAAGCAACATCGGAGAGAACAGGGTGGAAAAGGGCATCTTTGCGGGAGATGCCCTTCAAGTCTACTGACGGTCACAGCGACGACTTGTGTGTCATCTTCTCCCGGCAGTTACCGGTGACAAGCAACAGTAGGGGTTGTGAGCCTGCTGCCCAAATGTCACCGGAAGTCTGAAGACCTCTGTCACAATGAGTCTGAGACCCATCCCACAACAACCAGACTGGTCATCTGGATGGTCCTCGCTGGGACCTGAGACTTGGTCCAGGCAGGGCCGGCTGCGTCTGCTCGGGGCAGGTCAAGTTCAAAACCATCGGATGGGATCCGCGCTCCCTATCCCTCTCCTTTCGTAGCAAGCATTTCGGACTTTAAAATATTCCACATCTGTCGAACGGTGCAGATGGTTCCCCCTAGGGCTCGCCAGCACCATTTAGATTAGTAAACCCAGGAAAAAAGGCAACTTTCTCGCTCAATTTCCAAGCTGAACTGATGAGCGAGCCCAATTAACGGCCCATGGGTCCTGTTAGACGTGGCCCAGTGACCCCTTCTCTCCTGAAGGCTCTGAGGCCAGTGGTTAACCTGCCGGGGCTTTGCCCATCAGGTACTCGATGGGGCGAGAAATGAGCAAGGTCGCCAGTGCGAACCAGAAGCCCAGGGGTGCTCGATGAAAGCAGCCGGCTGGTTCTTCAGTGAAAGTGAGTTTGGGAAATTTTGTTTCCATAAAGTCTTCATGAATCTCAAGCTCTGCTCGTGAGACCTACACGTCTGCCTGAGTGGAGTTCAAGGTCCAAGACTGGCATTTTTCTAACACTGTGGTGTTGGTCCTGAGCTGTTAGCATGTGGAGAAGAAGCCACTTCTCATCTGAGACAAGCAGTGACCCAGCCTCACCCTGGCTCAGGGCGGGTCCAGCCGCATGCGTCCCTTCACTCACACTAATAGGAGAGGTGAGCTGACCTGTCGTGCTGGAAGGTAGCTAGGACTGGGGGCCAATGGTGGTAAAGGTGCTGCAGATTCTGTTTGCAAAGCCTCGATCCCCACTGCCTTTGAAGTGCCTCCAATTGTTAAAATCAGTATGCTGAGGGCCCTTCTCCCCCTGCATGCACATCCGATAAATTTCAGACATCGAAATAGCCGTAACTGGGCAATGAGATGGACCTGGATTTCAGTTCTGGCTACAGCCGACCCTGCAAGCGCGGCCAGATTCTGAGATGCCTAGGAGAGCACGGACGGTTTCGCTGGCGCCGGGAAGGGAAATCGTGGGGGATTCAGAGCCGGGCTCGCACCTCCCGGGGTCTGATCGTGAGTGGGCGCCTCCCGGTTGACTGGGGGCCTTTCCGATGCTAGGCACAGGCTGGGGCGCGCAGCCGAGCCCCGCCCGTCCACCTCCCAACAGCTGACAGTTTCTAACACATTTATTTCATCATGAGAGGAGCCAGGGAAAGCTTCTGCGTTTGGTATCTGCTATTCGGCCATGCCTCTCAAGAGTTCACAGAGCTTCTGTCATTTTCATCATTTTTCTTTCTTTCTTTCTTTCTTTTTTTTTTTTTTTTTTTGTATTTAGCTAGTGGTGCTCAGTTCTGGCTGAATATAAGAATCGTGGCAAACCTTTATTTTTTAAATTATGTTGAATGCACAAAAAATGTCACATATTTAATCGGTACACCCCGACGGGTCTGGACGTATACACACAGCCGTGACGCCACCAGCGCAGTCAGCGTTCCAGACCTCCGATCGTCACCGCCCCTCAGCCCTTCCTAGTGCTCCTCGGGGGGCTGTGCTTCTGTCTGGTTTTGGTGGGAAGAACGTCCGGCACGAGATCTAGCCTCTGTGTGTATTTTAAGGTGCACAGCGCCATCTCGTACGGCCGGGTCCTGGAGGGGCCTCAGCCCGCATAACCGAGGCTTTGTCCCATCGAGCCACAGCCCCCACGTCCCCACCTCCCTGCCCCCGGCAGCCACGGTGCTCTGCTCTGCTTCTGTGAGTGCGGCTGGTCTGGATACCTCGCCTAAGTGGCATCATGCATTTGTCTTTATTTCACTTAGCATAATGTCCTCTGCTTTCATCCGTCTTGTCACAAATGAAAGGACTTCCTCCTCTTTAAGGCTGAATAATATTTCACTGTCTGTAAAAATTACATTTTCTTTGTTTGTTTAGTTGTCCATCTGTCGATGGGTGTTTGGGTTGTTTCCTCGTGGTGAACTTTTAAAAACCACACATGCCCAGAGCCCAGCCAAGGCCACTGTGACCCAGAGTGGCTGTTGGGTGTCATTCCTTTAATGAGCCTTGAACTTCCTTTGGGCTGAAGCTGTCACTTGAAAAGTTTGATCCCTCTGAGACTTTTCAGAAGACTTTGGGGCAGTGGTTCTCACTCAGGGGTGATTTTACCCCCAGGGGATATTTGGGACTATCTGGAGGGATTTTGGTTGTGACGCTCAGGGAAGATGCTACTGGTACCTGCTGGGCGGAGGCCAGGGATGCTGCTTAATAGTCTCCAGTGCCCCAGACCGCCCTCTGCCCCCAACAGCACAGAATCGGCCAGCCCGAAATGTCCATGTGTGGAGGCTGAAAATCCCCGATCCAGGGCTGGTTGCCCCCACTCTTGGGGTGTGACCCTCTACTTAAAGCTGCTTATACATGAGACCTTTGCCCAGGGCCAGCGGGAATCTGAACTGTTCCCAGCTCTGGGTGGGGTCCTGGGAGTGTCCCACTGACTCTCCTGGCTTCAGGCAGTTTTCCTCTCAAGCTCGGGCAGATCGGTGTTCAGCCGGGGCTCGGGGCGGACCCGGCAGGTTGCCAGGACTCTGCGTCCTCTCGTCTCCGGCGTTTGGCCCTGCAAACGCCCGCTGCCTCAGCCTCTCCGAACCCTGACCTCTGCCTTCTCTACTCAGGGAGACCTGGGCTCTCTCCCGTGTCCCCTTCCTGGTATGCAGCCTGGAAACTGCTATCCAGTGGGGACAAGCGCAGGGTTCACGTGGCTCATGTCCTTCCCCTCCGGGCTCACAGCCCTGCATTGCTTCTTGTCCATAATCTGCAAACAATAGCTTCACAGCTTTTGTCTGGCTACTTCATGGGACCACAAGTAGGGGGTTGTGATGTCCCCCCGGGGTCGAGAAACACCACTCTGGGCTTTGATGAGCGTTTTTCCAGTGCTTGGAGTGAGCCTTAAATCATATGAAAGAAAAGCACTCAAATGTTACGTTGCTCGGGCTTCAAGGTAACTTTATTTAGGGAATAAAGAAGTCACTGGGGCCAAACGCGAGGTAAAATAAGGTCCCTTTTCTTCTTGAAGTTATCAGACGTGCAGTACGACGTACCTGTTCCCAAACCGAGCACAAGAGATTGAGCCAGATCCCGGCCGCAGTTTTCTTCCCGAAGTCTTGGCCACCAAGCGATGCTTTTCCTGGAGGTGCTGGCTGTGCCGTGAAGGCGCCGAGCCCTCCAGGGCGCGGGGGGCTGAGAAAAGGCCATTTTACAAAGGACGATAAAATTTTCAATTCGCTTTGCCACTCAGCAAACAGGTCAGGAGCCCCTGCTCGTGCCTGGGACCTGCCTCGTGCCTGGGACTCCTCCTAGAAGCCTCGGCCACTCACCTGCATTGACAAGGGCTGCAGGCGTCCGGCCGCGTGCAGGCCGAGGGAAATACAGGGACGAAAGATGAAATAACGCTTGGGCGTCCATGCCGTCAGCTCACGGTGCTTTTCCGGCCCTTCCCTGCGCCGGCCGATGCCAGGCTGGCTGTCGTGGGGCCAGCTCTGGCGAGGTGCAGGGGCCAGAGGCACGGAATTCATTCTGTGGCCTCAGGTCTC